TTTACTTGAAAATAGAGCATTGATAGTGACTTAGTTTGAATCTGTATCATTAGTCCTAGCTTGCTACATGGGCATCGTTAACTGCCTAATGGTTATAAAGATAGGTAGCCCATTACTGGCTATGGAAGATTTTTCTAGAAATAGAAGGCATTTAATGGGAAGTAAGTCTAGTTTGTTTTTGCTCCTTTGTTGATTGCTCTGCCGCCCTGTGTATGAGAAAGTCATGATTTTGTGATCCTCTAACTCATTAGTTCCACATCGAGAACTCAAAAAAGTTTGGATGAGTTTATAGTACGGGTCATGGATGTCAAGTGTAAAAATGACTTGTCATTTTTTGCAGTGCTTTGAGCAAAACAATGTGTCGTACTCCGTGAAACATCGGGCTTACATTGCGCCAACAGGCGCTCGTTCCTATGGCGTGACAGATATTAATCTCCTTTACCTTTAAACACCATTTATTTTGTATGCTTTTTGGGCTAAATAATAAACAATTTTAAATTGCAAGAACACATGTTTTAATTTGGTGCGATCAAAAGTCTCTAGAGACTCTAAATTGCTGTACATGCATAAAGTCATGCAGAACAACATCAATGGTGTTAATTGGTATTTGGTAGCCTTTTAGCCAACATTGTTTTGGCATCACATTGTGGTAGAATATTGTCATGTGACCTTTTGCAGTTTTAATTTCTACCACAAATGCAAGACCATGTACAGATTGACACATGGAAAGATGCTTGTGGTGAAACCCTATAAATTTTTGCATGTGGGTTTATTTCCAAAAGTGAAGCATTCTCAAGGGTGGCTTCTGGAAAATCACTGGAGGTATGAGTCACATGGAAATTTGTGATTTCCTGTGATCTTGCTAACAACTCATCTAGATGCAGGAGAACATTGGAGAGGACGAGCACGTTGTATAGTTCTTGCTGAATTTGAGCAGAGGTCACAATTATTGCATTAATTAATCAGAAATGGAACAACCATAGGGAATTGAGGGAGAATGATCTTTTAGATTAGTACTGAAAGTTGGTAACATGGAAGTTTGTTCATTGATTCAAGGCTTGATATCCTTTTGGTGCAACATTAATAATGTGGATCATGATTGCTGGATAGTTACTGCTACATTTCTTGGGTCTCAAGTGAAGTTTTTTTAGATAAAAAAATCATCTGAAATCTTTTTTTTAGAGCTTCCTTATTATTATTATTTAAATTGGTGAAAGATAAAATTGTAATCTCTCAACCATACCGTGTTCTCGTTACCAGATCACCGGACAATATTCATGTTCTTAATCATATGTACAAGAAAGAAACAAGTTTGAATACAGTATTTAATACTTCTATCATTTCTTTTTATGTTCCCATAGTTGTATAGTAGATCATAATTGTTATATGGTTATGGATAGAGATAAACCATTTTGAACCTTTGCATTATCCTTGCCTTTGTGTTTACCCGTCGCTTGCAGATTGATCCACATCCGCAAGAACTCACACCCGGAAGCTCAATTCCATCAATGAAAAGCCGCTTGAAAGACCTAAGAAATACAGTTACATCTTCCAAAGAACTTGTGAAACTCCTCAAGCGGATCTTGGTACTGGAAAATCAGCACTCATATAGCATCTCTCTTTTCTCAGCCCTCCGATTTGAACTTGATCGAGCTCGATCTCAGCTAGATCATCTCATCCAAGAGCAAAAGTTAGACCACAATGAGTTCAACTGCCTCAAGAAACAATTCATGGAAGAGAAATCATTGTGGAAGATCAAAGAGAAGGAAAGAATCAAAACCGCTGTCCACTCCATCATGGAAGAGTTCGAATCAGAAAAGAAATCAAGAAGAAGAGCAGAGAGGCTCAACAAGAAACTTGGATTGGAGTTAGCCAACACAAGGGCCACTCTAGAAAAGGCAGTTAGAGAAATCGAGAGTGAGAGGAGATCGAGAGAGATAATTGAACAGGTATGCAACGAGGTAGTGAGAGGGATCGGCGAAGACAAAGCAGAAGTAGAGAGCTTGAAGAGAGAATCTGCCAAAGCCCGAGAAGAACTAGAGAAAGAAAGAGAAATGCTTCACATTGCTGATGTGTGGCGTGAAGAGAGAGTTCAAATGAAGCTCTTGGAAGCCAAGGTTCAGTTTGAGGAGAAGAATGCTGCTGTTGACCAATTAAGGAATGAGCTGGAAGCATTTCTTGAAACTAACAGGACTACAGAGGAGAACGCATTTCCAGAAACAGGAGAGGTCGAAGATGGGAGAGATTCAGTAGAGAGTGATTTGCACTCCATCGAGCTGAATGTTGAGAACAACAAAGGGTACAGTTGGAGTTATGGTACTAAAACTGCTGAGTCTTCGGCTGAGGAGGATAACGAGGAGAGCTCAAAAATCATAAAAGAGAAAGCTGAAAAGGCCGATCAAGATGAAGAACAATATGTATCAGTAAAAAAGCTCAGAGATCGAATGTTGTCCGGGACCAAAATCGTACTGCCCCGTGGTTTGTCAAGCCCAACCCGACGATGGAATAAAAGTCGAGCTTTAGATGAGGGGGAAGATCGAGTTTGTGAAGGATTGAAGGTTGCAGAGATAGTAAAAGCTATTAAGGAAGCAAGATTGAGTAACAGTAGTGATAAGATTCACTCTTAGTGACTTCTTCAGTTTTAAGAGAGGACTTCTTCAGTTTTAAGTGAGAACTTCTTGTTCTTGTTAAATTCCAAACTTTGTGTTTTTGTTGCCTTATTACTTGTACAAAACTTCTCCTTACAAGGTTATATGTATCATTTCTTTTTGAAAGAGAGTTTATGGTGTATCTCTGAATTTATCTAGTTACTTGTGATATCCTTTTCTTTGTTACCGTAGAAAATTGATTGCAGCTAAGAAGCACATAATTTAGCTTTTAAGAACCAGAAACATAAATCTAAACTGTGGTTCTTTTGAGGATGACTACTGAATCAGTACAAGATGTGCTTCTCCTAGACGACCATAGCTCTTTGCCCTTCATTTTGGAAGGGCAGAGATTCAATAAAGCCAACAGACGATGTGGAGGATGGTCCAATGGCGAAGCAAAAGTGTGAGGAAAATTATAATTCATTTATCTATGATAAGTTATCTGGGTTCATATATCCATATATGTTTTGAGACTTAATATACAAAGTCTCAATATGGAGGGATATATATATATATATATTATATATAATATAATATATATATATATATATATATATATATAATATATTATATATTTATATAATATATATATTATATATATATATGTGTGGTGTGTGTGTGTGTGTGTGTGTCTATATACATATATGTTATGTGTCTATATATCAGATATTTGTAATGGTGTACACATATACATATATTATATAGACACACACACACACACACACCACACACAACATATAATATATATAATATAATATATATATATATATTATATAATATATATATATATAATTAGGGAGAGGTTCTAATAAAAACTAGAGAACTAAAACCCAATCCTAACCCCAACTATCTAATCCAATGGCCTACATTTCGATGGCAGAATTATAAATTAGACAAATTAATACACATCATTAATGTAAAAATGGTAAAATTGGAACAATTCACTACATTAATGTGGCTGGCAACATTGGAAACCAATAATACAACACGTGGAACAATTCACACATTAATGGTGGCTGGCAACATTAATGCTCTCTTTGAGATTCTCATTTCCTCATTTTCTCTCTAACTCACTCCTGCTCTCTGTAACTCACTTCCATCTTCTATCAAGCTTTGATCTTCCATCATTCGCATGAAGAACACAACAACAATTCATTAAAATCATCCTAACCATCCAAGCTTTCGCCTGGAGTGAATCTGGATTCACTCCAGTGAATCTGGATCACTCCATTGAATCTGATTATATGAATAGCCGATTCATTGGAGTGAATCCAGTCATTGTAATTGAATCCAGGTCAGTGGACTGAAACTCGTTATCAAAACAATAGCAAATCTGCAAAAATAAAAAACAAAAAGAATAAAAAACTTATGGTAAAAAAACAAGCTATAAAATTTAAACATGATAAATTTCACAATTTACAGCAAAAAGTTACGTTTTTATGGTAAAAAACAAACACATCACATAACTGAACTTGGATCACTGCAGTGAATCGAAATTCACTCATGCGTTTATTTCTTCGAAATTACAGCACATGCATTATTTCTTCAACAATTCATTAAAAACCATCCTAACCATCCAAGCTTTCCGCTGGAGTGAATCTGGATTCCTCCATGAATCTGAATATATTATTGAAGAATAAGAAACTTATGGAAAAACAAGCTATAAAATATATTAAACAAAAAGAATAAGAAACTTATGGTAGAAAAAACAAGCCATAAAATTTTAAACCATGAAAAGATTTCATCTTTTACAGCAAAAAATTACGATTTTTATGGTAAAAAACAAACACCTCACATACTGAATCTGGATTCACTGCTGTGAATCGAGATTCACTGAAGTGAATATAGATTCACTTATGCGTGTCTTCGTTTTTCAACTGGTTTCTTCAAAAAATAAAAAACTTTTCAGACTAAAAGGTGAAATATTTCACCTTTTACAACAAAAAGCTACGATCTTTAAGGTTAAAACTAAAACTTTTAGACGAAAAATCAAACAAATTTTATAAACTTACCATTAAAGCGTCAAAATAATTTAACGACGACAAAGGTTGAAGACAGTGGTTGAAGATGAAGGTTGAAGACGAAGGTTGAAGAAGACCGTGGATAAGGAGATGTTGAAGACAGAGAGAGTTGCTGTGATTTTGGAGAGAGAGAGAGTTGCATGGGGAAATGGAGAACTCAACAAGAAGCATTAATTACCTCTCTTTAGTGGGCTGTTTATTTTACCTAATTACCCTTATGCAGCTTTAATCTCAGCCATTGGATGAATCTAGATCCAATGGAGAGGAGAGGTTTTTAGTTTTTAGGATAGTGAGGTTTGTATTTGAACCTCTCCCTATATATATAAGAGTATAAATATGTACATATATAAGTATATTTATATAATAGTATAAATACATATAAGAGTATAAATATATATTTATATATCTATACATATATATAAAC